GTGACGCCGCCCCGCCACGCCGCGCACGTCACACACCGCAAACGCCGTCCCGCGGAGAGCGGCAAATCAAAGACACAGAGGCGAGGCGTAAGGAAGGGAAAGGGGGGGGGGGTGAGAGACAGAAGTAAAGTGGAGGAGAGAGGGGGCAGGAAAGTTGCGATCAATTTTAGCGAGTTTTATCGGGAGCGTGTCCCCAGCGTGCCGCGCCGAGGCAAAGGTGGCGGTAAAAAAGGGAGGGAAAATAAAAGATAAATGCGTCGCTTTTTCTCCTCTTTGTTGCCTTGGCGGCGCACTTTTAATTTGTGTGCTGCGGCCGCGCGGCCCTGAGCAGTTCGAACCGCTTGCAGCCGGACTGGCCGGACTGGTCGGACTCACGGGCAGAGCGCCCGCCGAGTCCAGGGTAGGCCAGCCCCCCGCGCGGCCGTGCGCCGGCACTGCCTACCTCCACGGCGCTCCGCTCCGCGCTCCGCTCCACGCGACCCCCGACCTTTCAACAGTTTGGCGCGCGACTCGAGAGCCGAGCCTTGTTCTCGCGGCAGGATCGCGGCCAGAGCCAATCCATCGAACCATGTTTGTTTCATCTCTTGGGCCTCGGCTGCCTCTCGAGCCTCCCTCTATTCCACGTCCTCGTCGCGATCTAAAATTCATCCTCCAGGCGGCCCGGCCTTGGGCCGGCAGGCCGAAGGACGGCGCCCGGTCCTCTTCGCACTCCGGCTGCACGCCCCCTCCCCCCTGTCCCTGTGCAAAGTTACGGCGATGGCAAGAGTCCCTGAGAGCGGGGCGGGCGTGGCGGGCCGCGGCGCGGAAGACCGTTCCGAGTCTAGGAGACGGCGACGCGAGACGACCGGGCAGGCTGCCGCCACCCCTCCTGCGCTAGGACGCTGGCGGCGCGGCGGCGGCACGGCGGCGGCGCTGCGACAGAGAAATTAACAGGATTCCCGGCGCGCGCGACACAAGTTCGAGACACTCCGCGCGCCGCGGCGTATTTACGTACCAATTTGTATGCAAATTTTTCCACCTGCTTTCCTCCGCTCGTTATGAGAGGCGAGAACGGCGCCGCCGGTCCTCAGCGCCGTGGCGAAGAGCGCCCCCGGCACACCCAAAAACAAATCTTTGAAAAAAAAAAACTGAAATAAACTGTCCTTTTGTAAATGTTTTCCGTCGCCATTCACGATGAAATGAAAGCTGACCACAGCCAGTCCGATTGTTTTTAACGTGTGCGGCTCAGCGGACAGGCCCGGTAGGCCCCGCGGCGTCGCTCCCCGTGGTGACAATGGCTGCGGAAAAGAAAGCCGCTTTAATAGAGTGACCGAGTGACGGGAATGGATGGCATTCCTCGGGTCAAGCCTTGCCACGGTCATTAATTTCATGTCTCAATAGCAGCCCCCCCCCCCTCCCCTCCTTCCCTGCCGGACGCGGCCCCGGGGGGAAATGTGTTTGCCTCTAGACACGTTCAAGGGGGGCGAGGCGTGCCAGGCGACGGGCCCTGCAGGCTGATTCCGATTCGTCGCCCCTGTCTCTCTCGCACCCACGCGGAGCGCTCCAGGGGTGTGAGAGAGACAGAGAGACGAAGTCGCCGGCCCGAAGGTGACAACGGCGAGTCCGCGTGGAGTTGGATGGATTTGAATGGATTCGAAAGGCCTCGTCCTGCTGGCTCCTCGCCCTCCTCGCACTCGCCCTGAAGCGCCCGGCAAACGCCACTATTTTGCGAGCCGGGCCCGACAAGCGCCACCATTTTGCGAGCGCTGCCAACGCAACGCCCCGGCAGCCTCCGCCCGGCCCCCGCTCAACAAGGGCGTCAAACACGTACACGCAAACAAGCCGCCCCCTCCCTCCTTGTCTCGCCGCAAACAAGATGTTATCCCCGGGTCACGGGGCCGGCCGACGGCCACCGACGTCCGGGCCGAAGCGCCGCGCCCTGAGTGCACCCACACCAGAAAGCGCCATTCGCTTCGAGGCAGGCTGATTACAGTGGCCGAGAACAAAGAGGCATCGGGTTTCGACTCTCAGGTCGGGCGATCGAACCCGCTCACATCTTTTCATTTTTTGACTGGCTCTCCCACTGCGGCTCGAACCCGAGCTCGAACCCATTCCCTCGCAGCCTTCGTAATTTTATCTGAGAAAATACGGGAAAATTGTCGTCGAGCCGTACCTCGATTGACATAGAGAATGAGCCACGGATGTTTGTCCAGACACGGTGAGCGCTGTGCGCGAGCGCCGCCGAGAAACGCCGGCGGAAGATGAGAGAAATGCCACGAAAACATAAATCCACCCTGGAACGATATCAAACGCATGAGACACATTTGGAGCAAGCAGCACGAGTCAGAGAGGGCCGCTCGGGACAGCCCCCCCCCCCCCCCCCCCCCCTTTCCCCTAGGCCCGGCCCGCCAGCAGGCTGCAGCCTCCGACCCGACCGGGAACAGCAATGGTCATAATGCGATTAGCGATCATTCTTCCTAATGGGAGTTTCCCTCCTCTAATAGTGGAAAATAAATCTAAAGGGCCCTGCTTCAATCCGAGGCCGCTGACGGCGTGGCACGGCGTGGCACGGCGTGGCACACAGCGAAATCAGTTGGGCCTTGGTCCGGCCCTGCTGCCCGCTAGATAAATAACTCCAGGGCTTATTGCCGGAACAGCGCGGAAAAAACAATGAGAACGGGGCGGTTTGGCGGAGGGCGTGCAAACGTGCGCACGCCTCTTGTAAAAAAAAATGGAACAGACAACAATGAGAGGAAAAAAATTGTAAATTTACCTTCTTACTCGCAGAGAGGATTACGGTCTTGTGGGCGTGGCAAGGCCCTTGCCACGAGCGTCGGCTGCTCTGGGCGGGCCGACGGCCACCGCTCGGCCACCACAAATTAAACACAACTCAGTCTTGCCAATTTTGTTGTGCGTTTTTCCCCCGCTCCCTAGCTGCGACACGGTCCCGACAGAGTCACCCCACCCCACCCCACCCCACCCCACCCCGCCCCGCCCCGCCCCGCCCCGCCATGGCGCCCAGAGAGCGGCGACATGCAAATACTCCGTGTCGGGCCAGCCCCGGCCAGCCCCACCGGCCGCACTAAGGCTTCCAATACGGAATGATGATTTTACCGAGGAAACGGGAGGAGGGTAAAACAGGGCGGCAGGGGAAGGAGAAGCGAGGGGAAGGGTGGACGTCGCCGGAGAGTCACGGGCAGGTTTAATGGAACGGCAAGGAGGCCGTTGCACTGCCCCCCCCCCCCTCCCCTCCCCGTCTCCACCGCTTCGTCATTAGAACGTCACTTTGAAGGGACACAAACATGTAAACAAGCGGCCGGCGTCGTTAAGCCCGTCTTTTTCCTCCCTAATGTTTTAATTTGCCCATTTTGCATAAATGAAAACTCGTTAAGGCGACTTTCCCGCTCCGCTAGGAATCGCACCTCTCCGGCCAATATCCGAGCGGTCCGTCGAGAACCTCCGCCAGAAGTTGTCGCGCTTCCGCTCCTATTCTTCTGTGTTGACGTCTCTCCCGCCAGACGCCTTCAAGCTGGCCATTGTTTCGTTGCAGCCGTCGAGTCGCTGCTGCGGCGGTGGCGCCTGGACAACCCCGTGCCCGCGCCGCTGGTGCCGCTGGAGGCCGAGCGCGCGGCGCCGTCGTCGTCGTGGGGCCCTAGGACGCCGCCGAGGACGGGCGACGAGGAGCTGGAGGACCTGCAGCACTACCCCGCGCGGTACGTATGAGGACGACGAGGACGCGGCGCAGCGCCCCGGCCAACGTGGCAATGCAATCATGGCAAAAATTGGGAGCCGTCAATGTGTCAGCGCCATTGACGCCCTGTGGACCGTGGAAGGGGGGGCTGTGTTGCCACAGCGGCGCCAAACACGCGGCGTCAAACACCGCGGCTTACAGCGTTACGCCCTGCTTCGCCCTGCTTTCCGGCTGGAGTGACCCACACTGCAGCCCCCCCCCCTTCCCCTCGACTCGATTCGCGTCGCGGTGATCGCGGCCGACAGTGATTGTGGCATGCTGACCCAGCGCGCCAGCGAGCGCGGCTCAAACCTTCCCAAGTTATTTTGTTGCCATTAACCTCCCTCCTGTTTTCGCTCAAAGTGCGCTTCAGTAACGCGTGACCGTTTCTCTGGCGTGCGTTAGTGACGTGGCTGCGCTGCCTTGGCCTGCCCGCAGGCGGTCCCTGCACTGGCTCCCCAGCGGGCTGGGCACGCACTGGGACCTTCACGGCGAGAACAGCCACCCCCTGCGGCACGCCAAGCACCACCGCAAGCACCACCGCAGCACGACCGAGGCCCCCGTCCAGCACGACGTGCCCGTCGACGCGCCCGTCCACGTCACCGTCCAGGACGCCGCCACGTCGGAGCAGCAGCTGCCCACCACGACGACGACGCCGGCCCCGCAGCAGCAGCAGCAGCCCAACAAGACATTGGGCAAGTTCCGACCACGTTCTTTGTTGTAGTCGCCGTCTCTTTTCTTCAGGCAGTTCGCCAGTATTTCTTTTCAACCATTTCGGATCGCTGCCAAATTATTTGGAGGGCGCGCGGCAGCTGTCACCAGGAGGCCGTGCTGGCCCCGCTGGTGCCGGCGCCACACGTAGACTGGCTGCATGGGCGCGCCGGGCGCGGTATTTCGTGCGCGTTTCCGGCCCCGAGGGTGCCGCGTTGCCGCATGTGTGTCTGTGCGGACGGCGCGGTCCTGAGGGAGGCCTCCCTGGGGACCGCCAAGCCCCCCGCCCTTGCCCCGCCCCTCCGGCCGGCGTCCCTGGGCGCGGTGCAGCGGGAAGGGTGGGCATTTCGGGAGTTTATTGCTCGATGGCGTGGCGGACCACTGGCGGTACACTGGTGGCCGGCCAGTGCATGGCGATGGCGTCCACGGCAGCCGAGTCGCATTAGCGTCCCGGTTGGTTATCACGCGTGGCAGCGCCCATGGTGCCGCCGCGGCACGGCCAGGCGCGTTCCACTGGAAAAGGAAAAAAAAGAGTTGTCAATCCGAGCGCACTTTTGTCTCCCATTGATAGATGCTCCCGGATTAGTTGCGATCACTCCACCCATGGGAGGCTAATGCTCCCGGATTGCCAACTCATTGTTTCCATTGTAGGGGAGAGTGACGGCGATAGCGAGCGGCCCGGCCCGGACTCGGGACGGGGCGAGTACCGGGTGAAAGACCCAGTTTGTTCCTTTGTTGTTGCATATGTTTGTTTTCTGAGGGGTCATTCGGAGTCAATTTTTCTCCTCAATCTTTTCCAGACCGCTTCCTGCCGCTGGCGCTGTCGTCGGACTTCGCGTCCAGAGGGGCGGTGGCCGACGTGGTGGTGGACAAGGCCGCCGCGGAGTCGCCGCCGCGGCCCCGGGACCTGCCCGACGACCCGTCCATCCACGTGCGGCCCGCCCTGGACGACACCTGCTACTCCAGCAACCAGGTGAGCCGCGCCCCGCCCCGCCCCGCCGCGCCGAACGCGAACAAGGGCGTCAACGCCGGGCGTGGCGGCCCGGCGGGCGGCACGCTGAATTACCCACCCGTAAATCACGCTGTTTGCTCTTTCCAGTAAATTTCACTTTTCGCGTTGGCCGCGTTGGCCGCGTCGCCGCGCGCCGTGTTGACACGCGGTGACAACGCGTGCGCCGCGCATAAAGAAGCCCGCTGTTGTGCCGCGGCACGGCACGCCACGCCGCGGCACGGTGGCCGCGTGACAATGGCGCCTTTGTGGAGCCGCCGCGCCTATTACGGTGGCGGGCCTATCCGGCCTATCCGGCCTATCGGGGCGTGCGCCGTGCGATGCTGTGCGCACTGTACGTCGGGGCATGCGGGGTCGGCGCGGTCGCGATGCGGGACTCGAGTGAACCCTTTTTGACCAGCCGCAATCCATACTCGTTGGCAGGCGAGAGCGTAGAGGCATTGACACGTAACAACTATGTTGGTTGTTCGAGTCCCACCGTGCTTTGCATTGTTTATCGACGGATCTAAATTTGTGGTAACTGACCGCCACTGCCGCTTCATTGCCAATGCCCGCAGGTGCTCATCATCATTGCCATGACGTGCATGCTGTCGCTGGGCTTCATCGCGCTGGTCATGGGCTGCGTCCACTGCTGCACCGCCAACGTCAAGGCCAAGGAGTACGAGACCTTCGACACGCCGTTCTTACAGTAAGTGATGTCGCCACTGTGTCTCTCTCACCCCAGCCAAGTTGGACACAGCAATAGAAGGAGACACAGCAACGCAGCGCGCTTCTGGTTGTCTCTGCGAGCGTTCTCGAGCGCCTCCGATGTCATTTGTGCGTGACTCTGCGAGGAGACGCTAAGCCGCGCCGTGCTGGCGCTGACTGGTGTGGTTTTTGATTGAGCCCCGTCTGCGTGCCGCCCCGGCCACGCGCCGCGCTTGGCCGCCCCCCGGATTGCAAAGCGCCGCCAGGTTCGCCAGGTGTGCTCTGATGTGAGTAATTAAATTCGGCGCGCCCCCGCGCTGCTTTCCCTTTCAGGCAGTCGCGTCTTTCATCTTTCGGCTTCGTTGCGGTCAGCGTTGCCGAGATCGGCGTCGAAACCACTTGCGCAACAATTTGGGTCACTGAATCCCAGAACGCGTAATAGTCCAGGCCGAAAGTTTCGAGAATTTTCCGCTAGTAGGGCTTTAAAGCTCGGCTTTTGAAGGTGAAACGACCCTTTACGTAACAGCGTATAATAAATCGTTATGGAACGGAACAGCGAGAGTCGGGTCGCAGACTTTTAAAAGTGATTTCCCCCTCGAATGCTGTTTCCAATTCCCAGCGCAGTCCGGATGCCCAGGGCGCGAAAAAGGGTTGCTTAGTCGCGTTCTATTCGGGATCGATACTTGTGGCTTGACGCCTGCCTGTGGCCCGCTTTGTGTGTTTGCGCAGGCTGGACCACTGCGACCTGGGCTTGGGCCCCCGCAGCCCCCGCAGCCCGCGCGGCCCCCGCAGCCCCCGCACCACGCGGCACAAGGCCGACGCCGGCTGGTCCGTGCTGCGGAAGCTGCACCCCACGCCCGTACGTCCACTGTTTTGTTTCTGTTCTTAAAAAAAAAGTCTGTTTACTTATTTAAATATACTAGTGTCTCAATTTTTTTGAAACCGTTTTCTGCAACTAGGATGCTGACAACGGCAATGAGTCCGAGGAAGAACTGCTGTTCCACGCCCCCTCGGGGCCCGTGGACTCGCCCTCACTGATCTCCCTGCACTCCCTGCAGTCGGCCAGGTGAGTGGCACTCTGGGCGGCACGGCCGGGCTCTCCGTCCCCTTCAAGTAGCACTCTGAAACAAACGACGCCCTTCGCGCAGGGAGCGAGGATCGTCGATGTCCATGGAGGACCTCCTGCTGCTGGGCCGGTGCCGATAGACCCGCGTCCTGGCGGACCTGCTGACAGTCCGGGGGGTCCAGGACGTCCCGGAAGCCCTGGCCGTTCTGGGAGTCCAGGAAGTTCTAGGAGTCCTGAAAAAGTCACGGTGGTCCTGGAAGTTCTGGAAGTCCAGGGTAAGTCCTGGCAAGAGGACACGCAGCGCTGCCCAGGACCGGCCGAGGGACCGGCCGAGGGACCGGCCGAGGGACCGGCCGAGGGACCGGCCGAGGGACCGGCCGAGGGACCGGCCGAGGGACCGGCCGAGGGACCGGCCGAGGGACCGGCCGAGGGACCGGCCGAGGGACCGGCCGAGGGACCGGCCGAGGGACCGGCCGAGGGACCGGCCGACCGTCCGAGCTGCTCATCACGGAGCTCCGCCAGCGGCGGCAAGCGGCCACCCCGACTCCACTTCCAAGTGCGGCGATTAGCAGACACAGCAGCAGTGCGGCCCCTTCTGGCCGCCCCGTTTTGCGTTTGCAATTTTACGGAACAGTGCGCGTGCGAAGCTGTACGCGTCCGGGGCTGAAAATTAATTTGGCTGTGTCGTGTTTGGGCGGAGGCGGCCGAGGCGGCCGAGGCGGAGGCAGCGGCGGAGGGGCTGCCGGAATGACAATCGGCTTGCCCGCGTTGCCGCGCGTCATCGCGGGCACACTGTCGAAGGCCGGGACAGGCAACGGCAATGGTGCCCCCGCAGCGAAGCGCAACGAAGGGAGAAATAAGAATCAACAGGCATATCAAACCAGCGGGTCTCGGCTTCTTCGAAATGCGGACGTTCACTACTGTGCGAGCGTCACTGTTGTTATTGTTCCTTCGTTTGACGATGCGATCAAGTCACTTTTTCCGTGAGAAAAGAACGAAATTGTTCTAGTTGCCAACTTTGTTCAGGAGGCTGAATTTCATAGCTGCTGTCGAAAGTCCTTTACAACTGAATGCTGGTTTCCACGACCAAACATTTGTAGGGGACAAAACTCAGGTGGGGTTTGCTAGTCCGCGGTCGTAGCAACCAGCTTCTGATGGTTGGAATTGGATTTTCGATTGCAGCTATCGAATTTATCCTTTCCCCTATAAAGTCTTTTTTTTCGTGCAACATCATATCGTTACCATACATCGTTGTGTACATAGTTACGAACTTTAGTTTCTTGTTCCATAGAAATTTTCTAATCTATCTTTTCTATGCAATTATCTATCACTCCCCACCTTCATTCGACAATAAAGTGATAAACGCCCGCCTTTGTGTACATAAATGGGCTCTAAACGTGAAGTCGAACTTTATAGGTGAGTTTCGTTTCGGGTGCGAAGAGATGACTGAAATAGTTTGCGAGTAAAATTGTTAGTTGTAAAGACGTCGTTGCTGGCAACGTTGGGATGCACTGTTTCCGGATTGCCTCATGTCTCGGCGTGAGTAGTTTTTGTGAAAATCTGGGAAACGAAGTGCTGTGTGGTATAAGGGATGACTTTTGTATGGCATTTCCTGTTTCCTGTTGAAATGTTTCCTTCGGTCGTAGATTCAAAACACATCTTTATCGTTAGGTGTAGGTGGATGACACAGTATTTTTGTATAGCGTCATAAATATCATCAATAAAGTTTTAATTTTTAGCTAAAAGCATCGCGTTGTCCTTTCTCCCTTCCTTTCCTGGGCGAGGCATGGCAACTCTCAAGGGCAGAGATGGATTCCGGGGTTCGCGATGTTACAAAAGTTGAAACTCTTTTCCCAATCGTTCAGCACTCCCCCCTCTGGATCCGCACCCTGCGGTCCCTGCTCCCAGCGTGAGTGTGCGCGGCACCCCAGTCGGCCCAGCCCGGCGCGGCCCCTGGAAGCCGGCCAGGACGTCTTGTCCGCGCTCCAGGCTCCAGCAAGGGCCCCAGGCTCCAGGCGACAGCGCGGAGAATCATTGACTGCAGCCCCGACACGCCTCGCGTTCGCCAGCCGTGTTCGCCCCTGCGACCCCCGTATGATTTATGGGTCGCTTCATGGCGAAGTAGATTGTTCGCGTCTCCGCGGTGATGGTGTCGGAGAGGGGGGAAAGGGGGGAGGGGGGGAATCAGCGGCCCTGTCCTTCCGCCTGAATAGCAGAGAGAGGGATGTGAAATGTTAACGAAATGCAGCAGAGGTCGCGGGGTGGTGCCACCATGGTGGAGCATGACGTCGCGTGCAAGGCCTACGCTACGCGACCCTCGAAAGGCCAAGGCGAGATTAAGGCAGCCGTACCCGCTACAGCGCTCGCTTCTTACTCGCCTCACCGCGGCCACCTTCCTGGCAGGCTGCTATCTAGAAGGAAGGGGGCAAAGGGACCCTAGCTATCCTTGACCACTGGATGCCCGGTATGCAAGGAAGGCAAAAAGGGCTACTGTACTGAGGCCGGGTCTGGGTCTGCCACTGGCTGCAACATGCGGGATGCGAGGTCGCTGGGCTGGGCGGTGACCACCGCAGCCAAAGTTGCTCTCCACTCCACCTGCCGGAAACACCGTCCGCACCGGAAGCGGCGGAAGGGCCGCTGTGATCTGGGCGGCTTAGTCGAAGTACCGCCGGAAAGGCAGCAGCCAGCCAGCGCCGCGCTGAGCCCTCTGATCCCCCGTTATCCCTGCAGCCCCCCCCCCCTCTCTCTCTCTCTGTCCGACCGCGGCTTGCGGCCTGACTCGGCCTAATGAGCCCCGTGCGCCGTCCGGCCAAACCGCGTTATGAAAACAAAAAGGGAGGTAGCAAACCCCTCAACCCCAGCCAGCGGGGCTGGCCGACCACGCAATCATTGGCCTGGCCGTGCATGCATTGGCTCCGATAGTCAGTTATGGCTTTCCACGTAATCTGGCGCACCGAACGGCCGGCCAGCGCGGCCACTGGTGGCCACTGGCGCGCTGCCCCTGCCGCGTATGCAACAAGCAGGGGCCCGGAGTCAAGCCACCGAGTCGGGCCCCGGAGTCGGGCCCCGCATAGGCCGCGGGCCGTGGCGCCACCTGGCGGCCGCGAGGTGAAGCGGCAGCGGAGATACGCCGCGGATACGCCGCGACGGGCCGGCGATACCCCGCGCGCAGCGACGGGCCCAACGAAGGGGCCGCCCGCCGGGTAGTCGTGAAAAGAAGAAGAAGAAGAGAAGAAGAAGAAAGAAGAAGAAGAAGAAGAAGAAGAAGAAGAAGAAGAAGAAGAAGAAGAAGAAGAAGAAGAAGAAGAAGAAGAAAGAAGACTCGATTTATTTAAATATTCAAAATCAAGCTACTCCTCCCCTTACACACACAACATTCTAGCACTCTCCAGACCCAACTCTTTCATGCCCCGCCTCGGGAATGCTACACTTAGTATGGGGGTCCCGCGTTCACAAAGTTGTCATGATGTCGAGTATAACCCCTGCAGCCCTTGTGCAGCCACCACTGCGTCAAATAGCTGTTTAAGGCCTTCCCTCAAACGTCCTGCTGGCACTCTTAGGACCTTCCTCTTTTTAGTGCCACCTTGGGAATCCCTCAGCCCCACTTCGGAGCATCGCCCCCACAAAGTAGTCAAAATGTTGACAAACCCAAATTTAGACACTGCATGTCATGTCAAGTACATTTCCTTGATGTATTTGCTACGTCATGATCACTGACTGTGCGATGCTCCCCTGATGAAAACAGTTTCGTCCTGCAATCACGATGCCATAGGCGCTATTTGCAAAACGCTTCGTTATTGGCTAAGGGAAACAACAAAGCAGGCCGCTGTTTGAACAGGATGAAGACGCGATGAGGGAAGAGGGAAGCGAGCCGGGAATGCAGCAAAAGGCAAAAGGCACAGAATCGGGGAGAGAGGTCATTGCCGGGCCGCGGCCGGGCCGGTCTCTTGCCGCGATGGCCGAGGCGGCGGGGCGGCGGGGCGGCGAGGCGCGGGGCTCGCTGCGCCAGCCTGCGCCCCCCACCCCCTCCAGCCTCCGCGGCTGCTTCGCGGTCCGCGGGTTGGGCGGACTGCAAACGCCGCTGCGCGGGGCGTGGGGGGGCGTGGCGGGGCGTGGCGGGGCGCGGCGGGGCGTGGCGGGGCGTGGCGGGGCGTGGCGGGGCGTGGCGGGGCGCGGCGAGGCGGGGGGGCCACCACCGCGCCGTGGACGGGCGCGCGGCCTGCGGTGCCTGCGGCCGGACAGTGCCGAGGCAGCCGCTGGAGCGGTGTGGCGCAGACTGGAGTGGCGAGTCGAGGCGCAGCGCGAGCAGCCTGGAGCCGACCGCGCGCGTGTGTGTGTGTGAGTGTGTGTGTGTGCGTTGGCGCCGAGTGACAGTGGCAGGCCTTGACAGTGGCGTGCCTTGACAGCGGCGCGGCCGGCATCACCACCTCGACTGGATTACTTTGGGACCGCGACACCACCCAGCCGGCGCAGGCCGACGGCACCGACGGCAGGCCCAGGTGAGTGAGCGAGCGCGACACCGGAATGCGGCCCCACTATCGCTGCACTATCGGCAACGGGATGGCTTCGTGACGTCATGATAAGCCCCGCGCACCGGCTAATGAACGCTAATTTATGCAAACACGTCCGATAATTAAAGGTGGTCCGGCCGGCCGCTGCGGTCGCTCGCTTGTTTTCCTTTTCGGCCGAGAGGCGAGGGGGGCAGCGTCGATACAGTCACTCCTCTTCCTCCTCGCGGCACGGCGTCAGCCTCGCCCTTGATATTGTCTCCGGGACGTTTTCTCCCCAAAGAGTAAAAGTCATTTTTTCGCCGCTGTTGGTTTTTTTTTCGAGTGCGATTATCTCAGAGAAAACAAGACGGCGGGCGCCTCTCCGCTACCGGGTGCCGTGCCGGGTGCCGCCGTGCCGCCCCGAAACGGAACGGAGGCCAGACTCATCAGAAAATGGCACTGATACAATCTGTCGCCGCTTCCTCCCGGTCGCTGCAAACAAAGACGAGATGAGTGTCACGCCTTGCAACCCCCCCCCCCCCCCCGTTCGGCTTCGGGGCGTCGGCGCCTCGCGAGGCCTCTCTTTCACGCCGGCGGGCGCGGCGCGGCGCGAGCTGACTGCACCTGGGCAGAACGACATGATTCGCCGATAGAGACAAAACGACCACTTCCGGCATCTCTCTCTCTCTCTCATTTTCTCTGTGTTGCTTGCGTGGTGGAGGAATTCTTCAGACGAAGCGACCACTGTGGTTTTGAAGGAGAACACCTCGCGCGGATCCGTGCGTGCGGCATAAGGACAAAGGCCCTTAGAAAGACCCCTAAAGTCCCCTAAACTTTAGGGCCTTTAAGGCTTCTAATAGAATCACTCTGCCCCA